TGGCTCAGAGTCTCACCCTTCACACTTTCAGGGATGGGGCAGCAACAACTTCTCTGGGCAACCTGTTCCAGTGCCTCACCACCCTCAATGTAAAAAATTTCTTCCTTATATCAAATCTAAATCTCTCCTCTTTCAGTTTAAATCCATCACCCCTTGTCCTGTCACTACATGCCCTTGTAAAAAGTCCCTCTCCAGCTTTCCTGTAGCCCCTTTAGGTACTGGAAGGCTGCTGGAAGGTCTCCCCGGAGCCTTTTCTTCTCCAGGCTGAACAGCCCCAACTCTCTCAGTCTGTCTTCATAGCAGAGGTGCTCCAGCCCAGATAGGGTATCAACCTTTAACTCCCCCCCACCTGTTTTACTTTCCTCTAATAAGCTTTTCTTTTAGCTCAGGCTTCCCTCAGAGCCCTGAGTGGAGTTCTGGAAATGAGGGGGAGCACAGTCCCAGTCCGGTCCTTCCTGCAGGAGGAATGGGCAAGAGGAGGAGCCCCAGGGAGGAAGGATGGTGCCAGCATTGCTTGTTTTTCCTGGGCCAGATGAATGCTAATACATGTGGGAAAAATAATAATAATAAAATAGTAATAATCTATTTGAATCTTTCTGGACCTGTAGCATCACCCTTGCCCAAGATTTGACAGGAGCTGGTGAGATGTTCACTGTTATCAGTAGTACCACATCTGCAAATACTTCCTTGGACTCCTTTTCCCATACGTATCAAGCCTGAGTTTGCCAGGAAAAAAATCCTGCAGGATCTGTGGGGACAGGCTGTTCCTGCTACCTTTGCAGGTGCCGTTCTCTCAGATGCTGCCAGCCCACACCGGATGCTGGGGATGCAGTTGGGGGGTGAGCAGATTGAGTGTGGGGTTGTGCTAGCCCCCAAATCCCTGGATCCTTACTTTACAATTCCTCTTTTAGTCTAAAACCTGCTGAATCCTTTTCTCAAGCAATGGCTTGTCTCGCTGAGGCTTTTTTTGGTGCTCACTGTCTGCTGCCAGTCGGTAAAGCTTTGTTGGCATTTGGTCACGTTTACTGGTCTTGTCCCACCTTGACAGCAGGGAATTTGTAGCCCTAATTATAATGACTGCCTTGGGACCTCTCTGAACTAACCTAATCCTGACACCATGGTTAGCTCTGGCACCCTAAAATAGTGTATTCTGGGCAAAACAAGGGATGGTTCTGCAGGGAAAAATGGAAAAAGAAATTTTTTGGAAGACACCCAAGTCAGTTTATATTGAATTTCCCCCCCATCCCAGGTGCATCTCCCTTGGCAAAGAGGGAATGCCAGCGAGGGGCTATAAATAAGGAGTGATCTCCTCCGGATAATGGAAACGGTGGGCCCCTGCGAGGAGCACGTGCCTCCCGTTTGGATGCAGAGGGCATCAGCAGGTGCTGGGTGGATGCTCTTATTTTAGCCTCTGATCTCTGCTGCTGAACTTCCAGCGTTTCTGGCTTCTTGTGTTTTTTTTTCTTTTTTCAAACACCCCGTTGTTCACCACCAGATTGGACTAAAATCCCGTTAAATAAGGGTCAGCTAATGCTTGCTGCTTTTTGAGGGCTCCTCTCCAATTTTCCGGGAATATTGCAAGAAACCACAGGTTTAGATCAGCAGAAATTCAGACATCAGGGTGGCAAAGCAAACCAGTTTGTTTTCCATTAGCCTGGTACCATCCACCTGGCTGAGCAGCTCACTGGCAGCAGCTGTATCGCAGGAGCGATTCCTCAAAGAATGGCCTTTGCATGCTGCTGTGCCTGATTTTGCCTAGTTTAAACTCACTTCCAAACTCTTCCTAACTCATTTGCAGGTGATGGGTAACATGCCTGAACTCCTCCTTGCTTGGGTAAGTCGCTCGTTAGGTCAGAATTACACTAATTCTTGATAACTGTCGTTAGTACTACAGGTTTGCCTTGTGCTGGAGTCCTGGCTCGAATAAAGGGGATAAAATGATTTGGGTTTTATTTTTCCTCCTTCTGTCCTCAATAGAGTCGGGGCAGACGTCGGTGTGATGTTGGGCAGGACGTGCCCATCGCCCTCCCCTGCCCTTTCGCTGCCAGGACCGCTCCTGCTGGCCGTGGCTCCCGGCATCCCAGTGGGATGCTGTTCAGTTTGGGATGAGAAACGCCCAGGCTGGGAAAGTAGGATCGAACTTGAAATGGAATGCGATGAATAACCAGCAGGAGGAGCAGGAGGTTGGGGCAACGGAGGCTGGAGGAAAATTCCTGTCCTAGAAACCTGCTCAGGCCCTTAGTATTTTTAAGGAAAAAATAATTTCCTACAAGAAGGGGAAAGGAAGGCTGTTTTTCTTTAAAAAATGAAAATCTTTTGGGCACTGCAAATCCACCAGTGAAACACAGCCAAGGGCTGGTCGTGGCGGGGGGGGGGGTCATGCCAGCCTGGGGACCGCTCTGCTGCCGTGGGGCGAATGCCAGCCCAGGAGCATCGCTCTCTGCACTGGCTCTTTGCTGAAGTTTTGTGAGTTGTGGATACACCGCTGTATGAGCCCTCATTTTGGGACACCAGCTTGAGGAGAAGCTTTTCCAAAGAGCAAGGTCAGGCCTTGGGTTATGCTCTGTGTCTGTTTTTGGCTCTTTATTTCTTGCTCTGGACCCATTAAAAAGCTGGTCGTTCCTGGCGGGAGGGGATGAGTTTCCACAACGATGGCTCCAAACACCCCAAGTTTTGGATTTTAGCAATGCTAAATGGAGCAGAGGATGAGGTTTAGCACTAGATGATGCTAAATGCTGGCTTTTAAAACCTGCTGTCTTTTTTTATTTGTAGCAATGCTTCCTTCCTGCAGCCAAAGGTGCAGCTTGTCCATGCCGATGCTGGAATAGCCAGAGGGTGCTATGGGCTGGATCCACCGACAGCAGGTTAGTGCCCATCTCCCTGGCATTTGGGAGCCTTGCTGTCTTGGTAGCGTTGCCTTTTTCAGTACCTGCCCTCCTGCTTGGCTCCTGTTTTCTGCTGATTCCTCCCATGATAAGCTACACTCATCTAACATCCCTTGAGCAAAACCCATCCCAACTCCCCGAGCTGGCTGCCCTTTTGCTCGCTCCCTACCCCATCATTTGTTGCACGAAGCCCCTTGGACACTGAGTCTCCTCTTGCATCGACTCATCCTATGAAGACAGGCTGAGAGAGTTGGGGCTGTTCAGCCTGGAGAAGAGAAGGCTCCAGGGTGACCTTCTAGCAGCCTTCCAGTAGCTAAAGGGGCTACAAGAAGGCTGGAGAGGGGCTTTTGACAAGAGCGTGTAGTGATAGGACAAGGGGTGATGGATTTAAACTGAAAGAGGGGAGATTTTGATTAGATAGAAGGAAAAATCGTTTGCACTGAGGGTGGTGAGGCACTGGAACAGGTTGCCCAGAGAAGTTGTGGCTGCCCCACCCCTGGAAGTGTTCAAGGCCAGGCTGGATGAGACTTTGAGCCACCTGGTGTAGTGGAGGCTGTCCCTGCCCATGGCAGAGGGGTTGAAATGAGGTGATCTTTGAGGTCCCTTCCAACCCAAACCATTCTGTGATTCTATCTCACCATTTGTCTCCCACCTCTTGATGCTGGAGGGTGGGAGCCAGAAGACAAACCTGTTTTCAAGCTTTCTCTCCACTCTGGGAGCTGAAGAAGTGAGTGCAAGAGCATCACTCAGCTGTAAGTCCAAGAGGCGGGAGTGACATCGTCTTTTCTCATACGTTGGCTTGACTGAGCCCTCTTCCCTATGTGACAGGCTGGGGAAGGCAAGCCCTGGGGGATTTCTCTCCACACAGGCTCTCCCTGGCTGCACAGGCAGCCTGGGATCTCCAGAGGGCTTTTTCAGACTAGCAGATCTGAAGGAGGACTCTACAAACGTGGCAGCGTTTGCCATCCCTTCTACTGCGGGTACCGCGATGGGAGGCGGGGGCTACATCCTGCATCCCTGCGATGTGCCTGCTCTTCCCCCTGGCACCGCTGGAGAGTTGAGACTCTTCCTCTCCCCCTCAATTATTTTTATTTTATTTTTTTTTTCGGGGTGCCAATAGCTGCAGGTTCCTTTAATCATCCCAGCTTTAAGAGGGAAACAGGAGAGCACCAGGGAGAGAGTGCAGTGAATTTAGAGACTCATCTTACCCCACCATGTTAATTATCTCTGCTGTAAAAAAGAGGTCAAGGAGAGGAACTCTACTAAATAGGCCGACGTTGGCATGAACAGCTCCTAAAGTGAAGAAGGTAAGACTGAACTTTACTGGAACTTTTTTTTTCCCCATCTCTTCAAAAAGCTCCTAGATTAAAGCTCTGATATCCTTTTTGTTGAAATCTCATGGATTCTGAAGCTCAAATGGCTGGAAGGAAGCCCAGATAATTTTTTTTTATCCCAGTCACTGAGAGGCTCAAAGGTTTTAAGTCCTGCCCCCATGGTGAATTGCCGAGTATATGGGAATACAGAAGAACCCGGCACATAGGTGTTCTGGCCATTGTTATCGAGAGGGAGAAAAATAAAATAGCTCTCTATGTAGGTCAATGACCTGCTCTTTATTGTCAGTAAAAAATTAAGGATGACCTAAAATCTACTACTCAATAAAAAAAATAATAAAATAAAAAAAAAGAGGCAAGGTAAAGTAGTCTCCCCCTAATCAAAGAGGAAATGTTTGTGTTACCTAAAGCTTGACCTCCTCAGTCTCTAACTTTAGCAAAGTCTTTGCGATAGAAAAGCAGTAGTCGAAACCTCAAAACCTGTCTGAAATGTCTATTAATTTTTGATCTTTCAAGGGAGTTGGCTTAGTTATTGTAGAAGCCCCCGTAGCGCCGGGTAGCGTAGTTAAGGGTCTCTCAGCATTTCCATTATAAAGCCCCAATATTCAGGGGCTTGTAACTCAGCTGTTTCCATGTTGTCGCTGTCTCATCCCTGCGTCGCTGTTTGCTGGCTCACCCGCCATCCCCCTCCGTCCTTCTGGGGGAAAGAACATGTAAATCGGTGACAATGACTCATTTTTTTCATATATATATATTTTCCCCGCCCCCCCACCCCAAGCCTGGCCAAACCTGAGATATTGGGACCTCTGTGGACCATGGGGTCCTCTCCATGCACTGGGTCAGTTACTGGGCCCCATCTCTACTGGGGGAGAATGAGTCGGTGAAGCCTGAAATACCCCCGTGGGGCTTTTAAAATGGCTTGGGGTTTGGAGACCGAAGGTTTTAAGGTCAAAAGGGAGCTTGGGTGAAGGAATTAGAACCAGCTACTCATTAATGATGGGGGCTGCTTGTAGCATCCTGCCTTACCCATCCCCTTCCTTCCAACCCTCATCACACCAAGGATCTGTTTGATTAATCCCTAGATTTTTGGCTGAACCAAAATGTGCTTAATCCCTAGTTTTTTGGCCGAACCAAAATGTGCTTAATACTTGATTTTTGGCTGAACTAGAATGTGATTAATACTTGTTTTTTGGCCGTCTTGCAGAGACTCTTATTTATAAGCTGGGCTTGAGATATTTGCGACTGCAAACCTTTTCCTTTCTGGCTGCTTTTCTTTTCCAGAGCTCTTTTCCTGATGCCTGGCCCATTATACAACGGCTCCGTGGTGGGAACCTTGCCTTCACCACCTACTTCTGGTTAAGTTTGCTGCCTGCCTAAAAGGGAGAGGATTGAAGCTGGGGTGGCTTTCCACTGAAGCTGGCAGGTGATGAAATTCACTACGGCCCTAAGCAGTTTCATCAGGATATTGAGAGGCTGAGCTCTTTATACAAAAAAAAAAAAATAAAATCCCAATTCCTTGGGTGTAATGATTTCAGGCACTTAAAGTCCTACTAAGACATACATGTGTGCATGAAAAACTTATTTTTCAAGGCAATATTTGCACTCATCACCGTGTGATGCTGATCCACGGGTGAGAAGGGAGAAGATGCACACAGCCAAGCCTTAACCCTGACTATCAACTAAGGTGGACCTGTACATGGCTTGTGTAGGTGAGGAGGTGGGAGGATGGGTTCCCATCCTGCAGACCCCATCCCTTCCTTACGGTCCTAGAGCTGGGATTTTAGGAAGAGTGGGCAACCCGGTCAGCACCGACACCCCTGTCGCAGATGCGGTTGGCATGGGCTGAGGTTGGGGTGACCCATGTGCCCCATGACCAGACCTATCCTGAGCATCTCCTGGAGGGACGTGTGCTGGACCTGAGATGTGGGACATAGTGATTTTAGCATAAATCATCAGAAAAGAGGAGGAAGGAAAACCATGCGGAGCTGTGCTGGGCTTCTCCAGTCCATGGGAAGGAGACCTGGACTGTGCAATGTGCCCGGCACTGAAACGTCCCTTTTTGTCCATGCA